AGAACTCTTTATTATGTAAAGTGGACTACCTCAGACTTTAATGGCTCATTGACAAAGGGGGGTGGGCAGGAAGCTGCGGGCAGCTATTCTGTCTTTTAAAACATGTTTCTTCTTTTTCACATCCAGAGAAATATTCTGCCTTTTCAATATTTCCTAGGATTTCATTTTCCTGGGAGAGGGCTGGGTGATAACTTCCTACAATCCCTCCTTTATTTTTTCAAAACATGTGAGTGGAACACAAATGTTATTGACAAAAGATTAAAATTGGTCAGATCAGGGAGACTTACTTTTTCTGATGTAAAAGCACTATGAAGTGATATATAAGTGCTATTGCTATTAGGAGACTGGAGGCTAAAAGAGATGAAGAACAGTTGCAGGAACTGGGCATGGCTAGTCTAGTGAAGAGAAGGACCAGGGGAGACATGAGAGCAGTCTTCCAATATTTGAGGGGCTGCCCCCGAGAGGACAGGCTATTTTCCAAAGCATCCAAAGGCCAGACAAGGAACAATGGATGGAAACTGATCAAGAAGAGATTCAACCTGGAAATAAGGAGGAATTTTCTGACAGAACAGTCAACCCATGGAACAGAAGTTTCCTTCAGAAGTGGTGGGGGATTCATCCCTGGAGGCTGGATTGCCATCTATCAGAAATCGTGAAGGGTCTCCTGTTTGGGTGGGGGATTGGACTAGATGACCTATAAGGTCCCTTCCAACTCTGTTAATCGGTTAATAACTACACAAACATGAGAAAATAAATAAATAAATACAAAATTATGCATATACCCACATATATGATACCGAGAAAAAACACAATCTAGTTTGGATGTGAGTTTACCAGGCAGATGGCTCAGGGAACAAAGCCATTACAGAATCTACAAAGGAGACTTTCCACCTGAAATGCCCATTTCCAGAGAATCTCTGCATTTGTTTCACAAAAACAATCTTCTAGCAGTTGCAGCTATGCGGAAGGAGAGCCCCACCTCAAAGAAAAAAACCAGACTCACCTCTTGGTTAGGATGCCAGACAACATGCTTCACATCCTGTGTGTGAGAATTCAGGACGCTCATGCACTCGTATTCGTCCTCTTCATCCACTGTAACGGAGAAGGGGGGAATTTGATAAAAACCGAATAATACAAATCTCCACCGGTCAATTGCGAAAGGCAGCTTTATTCAAAACAGTTTACATCCAGTGATGCTACCTTTAACACTATTAAAATTCCACACATGTCAGGTCCTTGAGAAGGACTTGGTAGGTGGACCAAAATGCCAAGACCAGTCTGAACATCATGTGACAAAGCATAATATCATCACCGGCAATGACAAAATCCCCAATCGGTCAATTGCGAAAGGCAGCATTAGTCAAGAACAGCTTACATCCTGCCACATTATTTCTAACGCCATCAAACAACCACCTCTGCCAACCCCAGATCCCTGGGAAGGATCTGGGACTTGATAGGTGGACCAAAATGCCAAACCTGGTCTGAACATCTGGCTGACTGTACNAAAAAAGTGTGCTTTTTAAAAAAGCGGGCGGGACGCGGGAAAATGCATTAAAAAGCGGGGGTGTCCCGCCAAAAGCGGGACATCTGGTCACCTTAACTTAGTCCCAGCTTAAAATACTTTTTCCTACTATAAAAGAAAATATCAGACAATGAAATTTATTTTAGATAATAAATTGAGTTTTTGTTTGAAGACTGGCACTATTGGCAAGCTATTTTTCCAAGGGTTTTGTTTTATTACTGAAATAGGGTAATAATCTGAATCGGAATCCTTGTTTACATGGTTGGCTGCCTGCTTAAGCAATCCATTGACCATCTGCACAATAATTCTTTCAGGCAATAGATTGGCCTAAAACATGCAGTGATGATCATACAGTGGCAAGCAAAATAAAAGTACACCAAAGAGAAATCAAATATATTGTTTAATAACATTGAGTTCATTTCAGTTCTATTTTCATTTCATGATGGTTTGCAGATGTGATGAATGTGTACAATTATAAAAGATAGAAAAAATATATTTTAACACTTACTTTTTTTCATTCACATGAATATTAATATTTGAAATATTAACCTTGCAACTTTTTTACCACATTTATTTTTCTTTAGTTTTATTTTTAGATTTAATTTGATTTAAAGAAGCAATCTGTTAATTTAATTATTTAAGAAAACAATATATTTTATTTAATTTGACTTGGTGGCAGTTGGGTAATTCTGGAGCAGAGCCTGGTTACAGTTGGTAACATGTTGATCCTGAAGATTTGAGATTTGGAGCTGAATAATGATTTGAAACATACACACCCAGAATCTAATATCTCAAAATAAATTTCTATTAATAGATTAGGGATGCTAACAGTTGTCATTTGATGTATTCCTTTATAATATCAATATACAACATACATTTTCTACACAGTTCAATTCTTATAGTATTTTATAGTATCCACAGAGTTTGAAATATAGCTAGCAATTAATAACAGGAAGATCTTTATAAAGAGAAAATAATCTCTTTATGAATCACGGCAATGGTGAGTATAATTGTCTATCTCTTTCTATGTGATAAATGAATGAATATCAAACATATATATGATTTTAGAAAATGTATATGTCAATGATTGAATGTGGAGTCTAGACAATTGCCATTCCCAGGTTTGCACTGTGTATCTTTTTTTTTAATTAAAATTTTTTATTTTTTAATTTAAAACAAATACAACATACATGCTATAGAAAGTGTATCAGTTGGTTACAAATAGACTTTTGTGCATCTCTTCCATAGTCAACAAACATAATTCATTATAACTCGAGCATTTTAACTCAAATATTCATACATATCACCATCATCATATATCCATTTTCATTTGACTATAATTATTATTTTTAAAAAATAATAATAATAATAATAATAATAAAAATAATAATTTTTGTTTCTTAAACAATACATGCCCACACCAGTGGGAAAAGAAAAAAACAAAAGAGAAAACAAAAAAAAGGGGGGGGGAACACAGGTATATATTATAAAAAAAAAGTATATCAGCTGGTTACAACATGTTTTGG